TACTCGTCTGTCCCACGTAAATAGATAGATAGATATCGCAATCGTTGTATGAGATTTTATATATATTTTTGTTCAAATTCTTTAGAAAAATATCCTTTTGCACTTTAATAAATTTGTTTAGTCTATTGTCACTGAAAAAGACTAGTTTAAAATTCTCATTCTTGCTAATTGTTAAAAATTAATTTGCTGCATTTGGATTGTAAGGAATCGAAAACCACTCTTTTATTGCTATTACTATCATTATTGTTACTATCCTTTTCTATCGAACTTTGTTTAGAAATTAAAGTTTTTAGTCAAGTAACGATAATTTTGAAAATAAATTCCGCCGCATTCAGGAGAGAATAATAAACTTAATATTTTTTTGCTGATACTTTCGGTCTGAAAGTGATACCACTCTGTCAATCATGCCCATTATTGTGTGTTTTTCTTTTACGACATAGGGTGTGCCGATAAGTAATTGAGGTATCTTCCCGAGAAGGTTGGTTTATCAATCAAATTCTAAAATATGTTTATTTTTGATAATTGTCACGTCTAAAAAATTGATTCTATCTTCCCCTCTCCCCATTCTCCAACGTAAATTGTAATCTTGTGTGAAACGAGTAAATGTTAAATGTTGTTAAAATGAAATCGTGTCAAGAGAAACTGCGGTTACAATGTCGTCACCGTATTTAAAATAAAAGGATAATTGCCAATCTCTAAAGCATTTGTTTCTAAATTTCGCAAGACGAGATCTGCAATGATTAGAGAAAGAGATAACACCCCAAAATTCTGTTTGCATTCGTCATTGAAATTGAAAACCATCGAGCTTTCAAAATTAACAATATTGCTTTAAGGAATCTTGCTTTAGGAATGCATGTCACTTTTTTAAAACATTCCCATCTTCTAGATCTCTATGCTTGTTATTGCTAACTCTATCGGTACGTTGGTAAGACTACAGTGAGATTACGTCCAATGATATTAATGAGAATTCATTTACTAATTGTATGCTCTTTAATCTATTTACAAGCTCAATACTATTCTCTATTTTATTTAGAGGTCTATCTATGTTTTGTGATATTATGTCATGTAAAAAAGTTGCTCAAGGATATGTTGGACTATCTAACAATGATATTATGATTCTAAACGGACTACCTATTTAGGCATCTTAGGCGCCCCGTAAGCTCTAAATAAGATCTCATCACGAAATTATTTTATGTCTTCCAATACATAATTTTTTTTTCCATTTTGTTACTAATTTTCAAACATTTTTTGTTAAATTATGTAATGGATTTCTCATCAACTTTGTGTGTCCTGGATCCTGAAGCATTTGAGTA